CCAAAGCCCGCGGCGACTATTTTTCCCGATATTGATACCTTTTTATAAGACAGCCATTTTCAGGCAGAAGAAAGTAACCGCAGATAAAACAGGTAACCTCGCAGGCTTATTGTTTTATGATCAAAGCGGCTATCTGATCAAAGACCTGCCGGTCGTATCAATGCAAGCTGACAACAGCAACAATTGACAATTGCAAGACATAAAATATTCCGGTTGTTATCAACACATCCCCTGATTATGACGTCACTTTGCGGCGGCAAATACAAGCTGTGGTATACAGCGAATCATGGAATGCCGGGAGTAGGATGAAGACTTGTCGCTTGCCAGACAATCTTTAAAAACATAAAACAGCATGGTAACATCAACTGGTTACGGCTGCAGCTCGCCTGTGGTCCTGTAAGCGGTATGCCTGTAAGAAAAAACGTGTCAATAAGAACTATTAAATACAACAGATGATCAGAAAATTAGTCCGTTCAGCAACCACAAAGGCCGCCCTTACCGGCAGTCTCCTGCTGCTGGCCCTGTCTTCAGGGAAAGTGCAGGCACAATGGGCCACAGTAGGCCCTAATCCTACCATATCCGGAGCAGCCAGCTATCAAAGCCTGGCCAAAGACAATGCCGGAAATTACTACGTGTCTTATTATGATGCGGCCAGTGGCATCCAGAAAGGATCGGTGCAGCAATTCAACGGCACATCCTGGAGTTACCTGGGCGGCCAGGGCATCACAGGCAGCTTCGCTACCTTTAATTCATTAGCAGTAAATGCATCCGGAGAAGTTTTTTACGCTTACCAGGACGCAGCAAACGGCAGCAAAATATCCATCAAAAAATACAGTCCGGTCAGCAGCACATGGACAGATATTGGCGTAGGCATTTCCACCACTACCGTCAACTACCAGACGCTGCGCATCGTGCCGTCCAGCAACCAGCCGGTTGTTTCTTACCGGATAGGCAGTACAGGCATTTTTGTAAAAAGATATAATGGCACGGCCTGGCAGGATGTAGGCAGCACACAGCCTGTAGTTACAGGTACCGTAGACCATCATTCCATCGTTGTAGGTACGAATGATACGGTGTACCTGGCCGCCTATTCCGGCACAGGTTATACCTTGTACAAATCACACATCAATGCCACAACGGCTACGGCCTGGGAGGTTGCAGGCGGCGCCTTATTCGTAGCAGCCAGCAATGGCGGCCTTACCAGTGCAGCGCTGGCCATTGATGCCAGCAACCATGTATACCTCGCCTATCGTGCATTAACAGCCGCCCCTTCGCTGGGCAAGGTTTGCGTACAGAAGTAT